GATTGAAATTCAACAAATAAACTGCATCTCTACCTTAATATATTTGTATAAGTCCAGAATATAAGCCTGTATAAGTCAATGCAAGTTGTTTTTGTTTGTATTTATATTATGTTTGATATATATATGTCATATAACGATATTTACCATCTAAAATAAATAAGTTATTTCAAGTAACTTTTTTTACTTTAAGTAACATTTTATCATCATCATGTATTGGTTCTTGTTACATTCGCATAAACACGAATACTAAACTAAAATAAAAACACAGAACAGGCAACTTACTACCAAACTATTTTAGCTGTACCGGCTAATAGATTGCCTGATTGCCTGAGGGCGTCCTATAAGTTCATATAATTCATGTCTACTAAAGACAAACTAAGACAACACATCGTGAAGTTATATGCCAATAGACCGTTTACTGCGAGAATCACGCGTTGTGCGTGAAATCGAATGTAAAAACGGGACAAACAAAGGTCATAGCGTCGTAGTGGCGTCAAACATCGCGTAGGATTCAACAAACGCGAAAATATTTTGGGGGCATTTCCATGCTTAATAATGTGCTGTACACATTTGATGATAGCCAATTTCAATTAAGTGAGGGTATTCGAAAGCAATATTCCTCTGTCGAAGATCGGCCGGTTGGTGTGAGCTACGAAATAAAGAAATTCGAGTTCAAAATCAAATCGCTCGATTTTTGCGGCAGACGTTCGACGCGCGTCCTTCATGCATCTCGCGAGATCTCACAGTTCAACGGAAAATCACCTATTCATAATCTAGCGTCAGTAATCAGTCATCCCTTTATGTTAATTAGTCTCAACCAAAGGTTAGCCAATAGAGGTTGCTAAGTTCTGCATGTGGGTGGCGTTCGCGATGTTCAATCTAACGATTATTTTAGCGGAGTAAAGCTAATAGAATTGTGATAGTGGGATATATGAAAACTTTACCCATCTTGGGTTTATCATAAGTCTACTATATCATTCACAATGTAGTTTATTTAATAGTTATGAACTTCTATGGTCTGTGATAGCGTAATTCTATATAAAAAGCAGAATTTACCCAGGAAGGGAACACATAATTAACGTGTACATACCATTGCCTATATCATAGCGTTGGATGATGAAAGTGGATTCCTCAACAAAGTGTTCAATGAAAGTAGCGCTATTACCTTTATTTAGAATGTCTTCCCAACATTCCTCTGGTAACAACTCTTCATACCAGTAGACAAATGTGAGGAATAACAAATAATTTATTTTTTTTTTTCATCAAAATTTAATAATAAAAATGTGACTTATTTGATTTGACAGCTCCGACCCAGGAAACCCTAAGGAACATTTTTAATTGTCGGAGTTATGTAAGATGACAAGAATAATCACTGTATACAGAACGAAATGGGGGTGTTCACTTATAGCACCGTACGGTTCTCATAGACCGTTCAGTAACAGAGACGATGTACCGTCTACTCCGTAACCTTGGCACACTGCGCAAGGTGAGACAAGTCAAAGAGAAGGTATATTAACATATGAATAGCACCAACCATTTTCTATTGTTGATATATCACACTGTAGAGTCAATACGAACTGTGGTTATAATACCTTGGTGTGACTTCAGTACTGTACAGTGTAATGATTATGACGATATTACGTGTGTATTCACTGTTATTAACCATCATATATGTATGTATATCTGTAG